GTTGTCATCAGAGTTCTTATTTTTAGATATCCCTTAGGTAGTAGCCTAACCATGTCACAATGCTTTTATTATTAATCTCAGTTTATTTTATCTTGTAGGCCTTATATCATTTCATATCAAGAAGAAGGGTGAGTAGAGTACAATAGGATGTTTTGAATGCCAGATGCTGTGTCCCGAAGCTAACTGGGGAGCTTGGGACCAGCCAGGGTTACATAGTACAACCCCATTTCATTAAAAAAAAAAAAGCACACACACATTCATTTAATTTTTATTATAATGTTATAGTGTTCTAGTTCATTATTAGTTGTTATCAGTTTCTTACTGTCTAACCTATAAATTAGACTTACTGTGTGTGTATGGGCAAACCATAGTGTATGTCGGGTCTGATAATATCCATGGTTTCAGGTGTCTGTTGGGTGTCTTGCAGTGTTTCCCCTCTGGATTGGTGGGAAGCTGGGGCAGCTACTATTCTTGATTAAGAAATTTATTTTTTACTCCATTTGGAAAAACTTATGTGGAGGAAGCACTGAAATCTTTTTAATCTTCACAGAAGTTGAAGATACAGGAGAGAGGGAGAGGCTGGGATAGAGTGAGGGAGTCTCTTTTTGGGTAGTAAGAAAGAGTTTCCTATCTTCACAATGCAGAGGAATATAGCAACAAATAAAGGGCAAATTATCCTTAAGAGTAGAGAAAAGGATGGGCCCAGTGTTTGTGAACAGGCACTGACGAATGGTTTTCATATTGCTGGAAGGTCCCTCTGATGGTTATTATTTTGTTTTAAGTAGAAAGGGTAAGAATGGTCATCAGCTGAGATTGGCTTTGGGGTGGAAAAACTGTTTTATTTTCCCTTAGCTTTTAAATTCTACTCATGACAATATTTTGGAAACATGATTTACCTGTTGGAAAAACATTGTCTGTTGATGTCAACAAAGCCAGCAGTTCTGTGGCTTTTTTTTTCCCTATGAGATTGGATGTTGCTCAGTTTCCTGGGCTCTCCATGAACTCACAGAAGGCATGTTCACACGAGTGATGAAAATACTAAGACCTTATAGAAGAATTAGTCCCCCTAGTCTAAAAGTGAAAATGCGAGTTTCCTTTCATACATGAACCATTCCATCCAGTAAAAGAACTTTTGGCATCAGGATTTCTATAACCACAATGTAGGGTGCAGACAGGTTGAGAACCAAGGAGCTGTGTATGAGATAGTGGAAAACCAACAGATCTTGGGAATAGATGATAAGACCTGTAGGTCATTCTGAAGGGGGAGATGTTACAAAAATGTGGCACAATAAGTTCAAAGATAGGGTTGTTGGCAGTTCTCCAGGAGATTACGGTCTGTGCAGCATCTTGAGTCTCACTGATGAGAATTTTGAAATGCTGATAGAGGTCTATCAGGTATTTATGACAAAATATAGCATTCCAGACAATAACTGAGTGTCTTCAAGAAAGTAGGTAAAAAATATATTATTTTGTATATAAAGTTGTAAAAAATTGTATGTAAACTGGGTGTGTCGGCATATGCCTGTAATCCCAGTGGCTCTGTAGGCTGAGGCAGGAGTATCATGAACTCAAAATCAGCTTTAGCAACTAAGTGAGGCCCTAAGCAACTTAGCAAGACCCTGTCTCTAAATAAAATATAAAAAAGTTAGGGATGTGGCTGAGTGGTTAAGCATCCCCGAGTTCAATCTCTAGTACACACCCCTCCCCCCATGTATGTAAGTTTGTTTATAAAACTGTAAATTTGTATATAACATCTACATCAATGTTTTAATCAGTGAATGAGTAAAACAAGTTATATGGGAATTTTTTACTTTGTGGTGAATGAAATATACTTTATGCTAAATTCTCAAGTTTTGAGATAAAGCCTGTTATCTTTAAGATCTTTCAGGGAAGATCCATAATTGCTCCCAGGAGTAGGTGGAGAAAAGAAGTCATTTGACAGTTTCCAGATGGCCACTGAAAAAAACCATCAATAAATTTCCTTCAAGTTCTCGATTACTAACTATGAATTTTGTTGTATCTCCAGACAAATCAAGTAATTCAGATGTAAGTACCACTGTGCTGTAACCCAGATTTAACTTTTTGAAAACAGATGGTACAAAAGAAGAAAAAAAGTCTTTTCCCATCTCTGTGGGCAAAGCTCAAACTTATTTATCCTCATCCAAGGCAGTTTCTCTCTGTTTTGGCCTGACTTCTGGGAGCCCAGAACTTTTAAAAGATGTTTTCTTGAAAATAGTGAGTTCTTTTCTTGTCTGTCCGTAGTCTTGGCTGAGTTCCTTATATTCTGGCTGCTTTGACTCATTAATATTCAGGCTGATCCAGAGTGGCTGAGAAGGCAGCAAAGGGGTGGAAGTTGGTACAGTGAAAGAGTCCCCGAGTCTTCTCAGGAAAGATGCAAATGACCCCAAGAATGGTGTCACCAAGTTTCATTTTCTCCAATCAGTTGAATTCTTAAGGCTTTCAACTGACTTAAATAGAGTTTTTATTTTTTTTCTCTTTTTTTCTTTTGATGTAGGTTCAGTTAGGGCTTAACTTTTCTGCCTCTTTGTCAGTAAGTATGCTTTTCTTATTGAGTATAAAATGATTAATCAAGTTAAGATAAGCATTGTACATTTCTTAGCTGGAGCATATTTATACAGATTGACAAATATTAAATTGCTTTAAGAATTGCTGTCAGCACTGTGGCTGCAGGGAAATGGATTACAAAAATGGAAACTTATAACTTCAGAATAAGTGCTTTTCCTTTTATTGTATCAAAAAAGCATATGTAGATTGTCATCCGAGGATAGGATTCCCCTCTGGGGACAAGGGATTGGTGGGGGACAGGGACAGCTACCATAGTTAATTAAGAAATTTACCAGTTACTCCATTTTAAAAACTTTATGTGGAAGAAACATTGAAATCTTTATAGAGGTTGAAGATAGAGGAGAGAGGAAGAGGCTCTCTCCTTTAGCAGAGCTTTCTTTCAAAGATGGCTCTGGAAAGAGTAATCATTGTATGTGGTATAGAATCTTAATATGGGGGAAACATTGTTTTGCTTATTTTGGGAGAAAGTTACTGTGTTCTGCCAAAGAAAATCTTAAAAATACATGATTAAACAGTGTATTTGTTATTTCTCTTTTCTGTACTACTTTATGAAGCGTGGTTTTAAAGAAATCAGTTTCTCTTTACTGTCTGCTTATGAAGGCTCCATGGATGGTTAGAAAGAAATCCTGTTATTGTGAATGATATTTTAACAATTGCCACCACCACTAAATCTGTGCATAAAAAAAAAGAAACATCTGGCAGTTGCTTCTCTTTAAGTAATATTGATGTAAAAAGTCGGGGGCAACAAGTACATTTGGTACTTTCAGGGATTTGAAATGCACTTTAACAATTAGGGAGGAAGATTCCTTGTTACTTCCCTTTATGCACAGTTGTTCAACACTGTGGTGGCTTCTGGGTAGGGCTGATGGTGGGTCTTGCTGTCTGCCCCAGGAAGACTGATTCTATTCATATTCTATATGTACAGGCAGTGGAGGTCGTCCTACTTGAGTTTGAACACTTTGTTATAAAGTTGCTGCCATGGAGCACAACTGTGCTTTAGCTTTGGGATTCTACCCTTGAGTTTCAGAAGCTGACGTGGACTAATTGAAAGTACTTGGGCTCCATAAAGATATGTCTAATGTTTTCTTCTTACTCTCATCAGTGTTTTGATACAAGTGTTGGGTTTAGTCACCATTGATTCACTCTATAAATATTTATTGAGTGCCCAATTAGGTGCTAGAGACAAAAGTTTCTGCTCACCAGTGTGGGTTCAAATGGCTTCTAGTTTTGGACAGTGGCTACTGTGGAGAAAGAATGGAGGGGCATTCATTAAACAAACAAATAAATAGTTCAAAATTAGTATTGCTTGTTACCTAATTGAATAATTCTTTTCAGAGTTACTCAGGATAAATTAAAATATTGAAGCAGGCATTTGTTTCACTGAGGTGGGATGTGATACAAAGTATACATGTTAGACTGTCAGTCCCCAGCTCCACATCACCTCAGAGTTTCCCTTTAATGCCGGACATCAAATTGCTCTGCAAGATAAACTTATTAAGGATGGAGTGTAGGAAATTAATAGGGAGCATGATGAGTGACTTGTAGCTATGTGTGTTATACATGTGTAAGTGATTGAAAACTTAATGCAACTTTGAGCTTTTACAGATAAAATATGTTGACAAAAGTGTTTTACAGAACTCATATAAATTAATTTCTTTTTGGTTTTTGTTTTGTTTGCAAGGTTGAGGATTGACCATAGATATGTACGTGCTAGGCAAATGCTTTACCACTGAATTATATCACCAGCCTAAATTTCTTAAATCTAGCACACATCTAGAATCTAAGATGTTCTACAGTAGGCTGTGTTGACATAACTTACTGTTATTATCAGTATTATTTTTTGTGTAGGAGGCAAATGGTAGTGTGGTGGTTGTGGTGGTGGTGGTAGTGAATTGCTAATGTAGATCAGTCTTCGTTTACAAAGGAGGAACAATTCTGTTTTTTAATATCATTGGAATGCATCAAAAAACCTGATGAATATTAAGTATTCATCCCTAAAATATAGGCCAGAAGAAAGATAGTTTTCTTGATTATCTAAACTACAGAAATCAGCATATTTCATGGGGGTAGTTTGAGAACTGAATTTTCTAGGTGTAAAATTTTAATCCTAGTCCTCTTGGGAAGGTTTGATTAATTTTGCACTGAACAATGTCACGCAGAGAAGTTCTCATCAACATCTCATGCATCTTAATATTGCCCTTAGAGTGGAAAGAAGTAGTAAGTGCTCACAATTTCTCTTTGGGGGAAAGAGAAAGGAAACCCACATTGCTTTAGGTTTTCATGCAGCAGAATTTTGGACTTTCAGTAAGAATGCCTATAATATACAATATTTTTTTTCCACTAGGGATTAAACCCAGGGGCATTCTATTCTGAGCTACATCCTCAACTCTTTTTATATTTTCATTTTGATACAGACAAGAAGTGGGACCGACACTGAAGGCAGAAGCCAAACACCCCTAAACAGTGCTAAATTGCCTAGGCTGGACTTGAACTTGCAATCTTCTTACCTCAGTCTCCTGAGAAGCTTGGATTACGGGCATATGCCACCATACCTGGCCAATAATGGTTTTTCATGGATTATTACTAGTAATAAACATAAAGAAAAAACTGTTACTTTGATTATTCACTAATGCTGAAAATTTTGTAAACATGGTGTCTTTTACAGATGAAGTTGAGCCTTTCATCTCAAAGAATTTGGGAAAATGTTTTTAATTTGTTTTTATTTTTCAATGCTGGGGATTAAACCCAGGGCTTTGCACATGGTAGGCAAATGCTTTTCCACTGAGCCACTCACTCTATGTTATTTTTTTAACATTTTAAAAAATTCATTCTAATATGTTATATATGGTAGCAGAATGTATTACAATTCATACTACACATATAGAGCACAGGTTTTCATATTTCTGGTTGTACACAAAGTAGAGTCACACCATTCATGTCTTCATGCACATATTGATGTCCATCTCATTCCACTGTCTTTCCTACCCCCATGACCCCTCTTCCCCTCCTATCCTTTGCCCTATCTAGTGTTCATCTAATCCTCCCACGTGCCCTCCCTCCCCTACAATCCCAATCAGCCTCCTTAAATCAGAGAAACATTTGGCATTTGTTTTTTTGGGATTGGCTAAGTTCACTTAGCATTATCTTCTCCAACTCTATCCATTTACTTGCAAGTGCCATGATTTTATTCTCTTTTAATGCTGAATAATATTCCATTGTGTATACCACATTTTGTTTATCCACTCATCTTCCATGTTATTTTTAACATTTATTAAAAGCCCTACCTTCACAGAAAAAAGTCAGGTATGTCTGGCAACCTAGCAAAATTTATAGACTACTTAATAAACCTACCAATGTCAACTATGAAAAAATGACAGTTGTCCTTTTAAGACCTTTGTCTTAAGAGGGAAGAGATTCTTGCATTGACATTCTCCTTAAGAGAGTGCAATTCTAAAAATTGAGTAAAAAATTTGGAATTACATAAAACAGATTGATCAAGCAGGACTGGATGGTTAGTTCTAGTTGTTTATTTCCCCGATCAGCACTGACTTGTAGCCTAAGAAGTCAGGTGGGATAATTTGAACTCCTCAGTGCCAGAGGATTGCTTGATCAATCAGAATCAGAGAGGACAGCCTTCTGTCTATTCTTGATGCAGCCACTGATGTTGCAGTGCAGGACGAGAAGTAGGACTAACACTGAAGGCAGAAGCCTTCATAAACAGTGCTTTCCCACTGAGATACAATGTTCATTCAACAGATACCATTGAGCTTACACTGTATTCATAGAGTTTCCTATTCTCCAAGAATATGTAGAGAAAGAAACTCTCAGAGAGTTTACTGTCTAAAGGGTGACAGAGCAGTTACATCATAAGGAGTGGATAAGTTCTGGGTTAAAGGTGTGAAGACCAGACCTCTGGGAAAGAACTGCCCAGCCATTATCAAGATACAGAGAAAATTAACAGTTCACTCTTCAGGCTATTTTTTTCCATGTTCTCCTGACACAACCCTGGGGAAACCTGTAATCAAAACAGTAGAGACAGGTACAGCTAGTTCAGAAAATTGGTTCAGATGAAGAGTTCTTCCAAGGACCTGCCAAAGTTTTTGCAGACTCCCCATCTTCTGCAATTTCAAACCCCCAAATATATGACTTCATCAGTTTATTAATACAAGGAGGAAATGTTAGGGTTTGATTTTATCTAGTCCAGGTGGGAGAAATGGGAGGAAGAGGCTATTCCTAGCAGGCAGAGGCTGCTTACTCTCAACTTTGTCACTCCAAGCAGAGCACAGAGCACAGACTCACATCCAACTTTAAGTGACCAGAGTCACACAATGTCCTCTTACACTTGTGCCTCCTCCTGTTTTCTCTTCCTTGATTTCCAGCTGTTTGGGGCCCTCACTTCTCAAAGTGAGGTCCATGAGATATCACTGTCACCTGTGCTTGTCAGAAATGCAGAGGCTCAAGTGGACCCAAAACTACTGACTTAGAATCTGCCTTTGAACAAGTTCTCCAGATAATTCTGTGCATAATGAAGTTGGAGATGCCCTCAGACTCCCCCGCCCCTTTCTATCTCCCACACCTTCTCGTATGTACCCAACCAGCAATAACTAAAGATTGCGTGTCTTTGATAATCTTCTAATCAGGAGAATGAGTTTGGCTTTTAAACTATTAAAAAACAAATAGCAGGAAGGTGCCTGGGAGATGCTGGTCAAAGGATACAAAATTTCATGTAGACAAGAGGAAAAAGTTTAGGAAATCCAGCGTAAGGGTGAATTTAGCTAATAACAATGTATTATGTACTTGAAAATTACTAATAGTAGATTTTAAATGCTCTCACCACCAAATACACAAAACAACAAACCATAGAAAGTAATGTGTGGGAGGCCTCCTCGCATGTGATTTGAGTTACCTCCCTGGCTGGGTGAGAGGCGCTCAGACATATCCTTATGTCCAGAGCTTTCCCCCACCCTTCTCAGGTCTGAGGGCTTGTCGCTACTCTAATAGGTAGCTGGAGGCTGGAGCTAGGAGAAGCCGTCCTGGAGCTGGTTTAAAGGTAATTAGAGCCTGTCTCTTTAATTCAAAACTCCCCTCAGATTTCTCATGTAGCTGAACCTTCATTTATGAAGCCTGTGCTGGCCGTGGGCTAAAGTAATGGGTATGGAAATTAGCTTGATTTTTGTCATCCCATAAGGCGTATGTATATCAGAACTTCATATTGCACACTATAAATATGTACAATTTTTGTCAGTTCAATAAGCAAAAACCAAAAACTAGGCAGATGCTATAGAAGAATAAAGCTCCCGGCTGCTCTTTTGCGCTACAGGGTCCAACCCTCGCTGTTGTCTCTGCATCTCCTTGAGTACCTGTCTGCTGCCTCCAAGGCCCTCTGAGCACCTTGCCCTCTCCACCTGGCCTTTTGCCTGTATTCTCCTCTGTGCTCTCAGATTCATCTAGCAAATGGGGTGTTGTTTTATCAATCCAGATTATACACCTACTGTAAATCCTCAGTGGCATCCCTGAGCCCACCTGGCTGTGGCTGGACCCCACACTGCGCAAATGCTATCCCTTTCCCCATCTCTCTTTTTCTCTTTCTTTTTCTTCCTTTAGACTTTGCTCAAGCGCAGCCCACTCTGTCTCCCCTTGACCAGCTCCCTGTCCTGGACACCCACCCAAAGGAATGCTCATGGTGTGGCTGTGTCTCCCACGCTAGAACGTGAGTCTCTGGGGAGCAGAGATGATCTCTGTGATCTCTGATAGCTGATGTACCAAACTCAGAGTCTGATAATTACAGGGAGTGTTCAATAGACGTTTGTCAACTTAAGTTGGTTAAACTGACTGGGAAGTTTTACTGGTTTCCTTGGAATTATGGAAAAGGCAGTTCACCTTGGGGAGGTACAGGCGAGCTAAACTGACTGAATTATATTCTTCTATTGGATTTAGCAGAGTGTAACAACAAATCCCACTATTGTGTATAATTATAATGCACCAGTTTAAAAAAGCAAGTCCTTTTTTTTCCTGGAGTTCCAGAAGGAATCCTTGGTTTGTGACAGATTCATGGGGTTTTCCTTTTGTGAAAGCCCCATTCCATTTCTAACTCTATATTTACAAGTGAATATTATATACTTTTCCCTTGCAGTATTAGGATCAAAACAAAATATTCTCTTAAATAAGCATTTCAGTTTTATCTGTATTTTGTGGTTGTTTATTACAGAGGGAGCACATTTTATGAATTATATTTATTACTGGGTGTGACTAAAAAGTATACTGGTAGGCTCGCATGCACGAGACCCTGAGTTCAATCCCCAGCACCACACACACACACACACACACACACACACACACATGAATATACTGGTATAATACTAGAGATGAGTGTATGAAATTAAAATTGTCAAATATGTACTGTGTATAGGGGATGGTGCTGTGCACCTTTTGGGAAGATGCAGTGAGGGAGAATCCTTTGGGGTGAGTTTGAGGCCTGCCTGGGCATAGGGTGAGCCCCCTTTTCAAAAGAAAAAAGAAAAAGACAAAGAAAATCATGCTGTGGGGTCATATATAGATGATTTGTTATTTTAAAACACTTAAGATTTTTCCACTTGAAATTTTTTCCATTCAAATCTTTCTTGGGGAATGGACATTTTGAAATTCCATTTTTAATATAAATTTCTATTTATCAAATTTATTAATCTAGTCTTCACTTACTTATCTTTAATTTTAGTTTCATTTCTTTTCTTTTTCTAATTTTATTATTTCTTCCATTCTCTTTAGTTAAAAAATCCATTAACTATGTTGTCAATTATTAGTGTTAGAATTATCTACATTTATCAATTTTTTTTTGCATTTTCTTTCTCTACCATGTTTGTTTCTTTATTGAGTTTACTTTTGCTAATTTTACTTTAGTTTGTTACTTTGTTCCTTTTCTAAATTCTTTTATCAAGAGGATTGGTTCATTATTCTTTTTTTCTTTTTCCCTCCAATTTTGTAATAATAACTACACATTGGCTAATATTTGACTTAGTACATGAGCAAATTGATTTTTGTAAATGATTTGATTAGCATTGAAAGTTAAATGTGCTCCCTATCTTACTCTTTTGTCCCTATGTGGCAATTAGGTTATTCAAGGCTGATTTCATTGTCTGTTTGAGCTGTCAAATTCTCACAGAACATTTTGAAACCCTAAATTCTGGTTTCAGTTCTCTTACTTGCAAAATCACTTTAGTCACACCCGTTGACATTGCTGTAGCTTTTCATTTATATATATATGTGTGTGTGTGTGTGTGTGTGTGTGTGTATTTACTTGTTTGTTCTTAAATGAAACATTTAAATAAGTTCACTTTAAAACACTTTGAAGTTCCTTGATTCCATAATAGATAGTGTTTTTTGAGTACTCACTATGTACCAAGGAATCACTTTTATGTGCCTTGTCTCATTTAATCCTCACAAGATTCCTGCAGGTTAGGTGGCATGACTCTCACTTCCCATAGAAAGAAGCTGAGGCGCTCAGAGGCTGGACACATTTTCCTGAGTCCCATGCCTAGTTGTAGAGGGATCCAGAGTTAGGGTAGCTGCTTGCTAGGGCTGGCTCTGAAGTGTGGCCTTGCTACGACAGGGACAATGATACTTTTTCTTTATTCTGGGTTTTTGCACAGATGGGTATATTTGGGTCTATTCCCTTACTTTTAGTGTACATGCATTTTTTTGGGTGGTGGTGGGGTAAAGTTATCAGTTGGGGTTTTGAAGATCAAATGATACTTTAGCAAATTCTGTGTACATTTTCTTTTACATTTGAGATGTGTTATTTCCCATGATCCTTTCAGCTTTTGCATTTTTCTTGCCTTTCTGGGATGATGAAGTTAAACTTTTGTAACTAAATTGGAAGATGGTGAAATGCACTTATTAAATAGGCAGCTTTGAACTCTCCTATACAGTATTTGAGTTGAATACCTACCATTTGTGATATAATTAAGCTTTCATAGCAGTCTTTTTATTTAAAATTCAGTCTTCTCCAGGTGTCTTTAAAAAAAAATGGTGGAGGGGAGGTTCTTGGGAGATCCTCCTCCTTCAATTTCAGGGCTTTGTTGCTGTTTCCCACCTGGTGACGTGACTCTGGTGAACTCTGTTGTGTGTTGCTGGGACTTTTGCTGGAACAATAAGGAATATTATATATAAATAAATTCTAGAATCCTTTTCCTGCAGAATTGAAAGTATATTTGTTCTGATGTTAGACACTTGTCATATTCTTTTAGAATAGCACTGAAAGCAGATACTTGTATTTCCATTTTTACTACTAACATTTGTAGTAAAATTGTTTAATTCTTAACATTTGTAGTAACAACCATCATTTTAACCTCTTTTCAAGTGAAGTAGAGTGGAATATTAGTCATATTCCACCCTTATAGTAATGGAATTCCTTTGTGAAATTCAGTCATTGCTCCTTACTCTTCTCAAATAACTGGCTTTTGTGTATGTGTGTGTATATAGGGTGGGTTATTGAGCAGTAAATCCAGAGGTACTTCTCCATCCCTTTTTATTTTTAATTTTTTTTTTTTTTTAAAGATAGAGTGAGAGAGGGAGGGAGGGAGGGAGAGGGAGAGGGAGAGAGAGAGAGGGAGAGAATTTTTTTTTAATATTTATTTTTTAGTTCTCGGCGGACACAACATCTTTGTTTGTATGTGGTGCTGAGGATCGAACCCGGGCCGCACGCATGCCGGGCGAGCGCGCTACCGCTTGAGCCACATCCCCAGCCCCTTATTTTTAATTTTGAAACAGGGTCTCTTGAACTTGGGAATCCTCCTACCTCAGCTTCCTGCACTGCTGGGTTTACAGGTGTGTCACTACCGTACCAGCTTAACTGGCTTTTAATAATCACATAAAGTGTTATATGCTGCATTTAAAAATAGGCATTGGTCTTGGGGAAATTTTGGTGGACTAGTTGGTAGAAATTTTTTCATTTTGTTATTTTCAATAACCTTTGTCCTCCTCTCTCTCACCTTCATAAAAGTTGGACAGTGCAGAGGAAGTTGTAGGAGTCCTGTGGCAAGTACAGTGACATGGGGCTGAGGCAGATTGACTCAGGGATGAGAGGATCATGATGCACGGACATCTTCTCTGGCCATGATTTGCATATATATTTTAATGTCAACCATTAGATTTGGCAAACATTTATTGCTCAACTTTGTGCCGGGTGTCAGGCCTCCTGTTTGGTTTGGATGTATATGATTTGAAGTGGGACCTCCTTACTGCAGGTCATCTTTTCTTTATATGGACCTGTTTTAGAGCCAGGCATGGTGGTGCATAGCTGTTGCCCCTGCTACTTGGGAAACTGAGGCAGGAAGACCACATAAGTCAGGAGTTGGAGGCCAATGAGCTCCTTTCTCAAAACAAACAAAAAAACTTTATGCAAAAAGTTATAACTGTACCATACTAGTAAAAAATATTTTAGAGGGGCATAAATTTCTCTGTCGGTAAAAGTAAAAAAATTCTTTCCTACCATTAGGGCATTTCTTTATTTTCCATTTGCTTTCCTCTTCTGAATATTATAGAGAAATGTATTATTTAAAAAAACAAAAAGAAAACCTGATTTGTTGCTTAGGTAGCCCAGATCTCTCTGGTCATATCAAGCAGAAGAGTGATTTAAACAGCTAGTCAGAAAATGATATTTCAGTTCACCCTTTGCTCCCTGCTTGGTGTTCTTGTTATGTGAAAAGGGCCTCGTCTTCTGAATTGGACAGGACCTATACCCGACTCTGGTGAGTGGCCCACAGATTACCCTCAGTGTTTGACGTCATACAAGACTGTGGTTTTTAACCAGGTTTGAACTGTGCCAGAACCAGTAGGAGGAGCTTTTTCCAAATCTGCTTGTGGGAGCTTCACTCTTGCATCTCTTGAGTCAGAATCCCCAGGTCCCGGGGCCTGGCATGTAGCTCTTCGCAGATCTCCTTGGGTGGCTGATGTACAGCTCTGATCAGGAAGGAATGATCTGTCAGGTGCCCTTCCTCTAGCATCCAGGAATGTCTGCAGAGTTTTCCCCTGGAGCAAGAAACCGCCATTATGTTTCTATAATTTAATGCTCATTAAATAGTACTGCATAAATAATATCCTTATAAGAATATCAAAATGGTCCTAATTAATGAATTTTCTCTCTCTCTCTCTCTCTCTTTAAGAGGTAGGGCTCACTGTGCTGCCCAGGCTGGTTCCAAATTCTTGGGCTCAAGTGATCCTCCCATAGCAGCCTCCCAAGTAGCTGGGACTAGGGGCGTGTGCCATCTCGCCCAGCTTCATTTCCCTTTGATGCCTCTGTGTATCTCCAACCATCTTAGTCAAACCCTAGAATGGGCACAATGTTTCCTTAGACATTAAATGCTGGTAGTCAGAGTCAAAACTTGTATAGCGTGTGACAGTCATGAGAGTGGGGCACCATCACTTGGTAGTTCACACCCCGCTGTGCACAAGTCAGTTGGGATGGTGTGGAGCTGATGGCCAGGGCCACACCCCTCCCCGCGTCACTCGCTGTCCTCCAGGAGAAAGGTAAAGGTAGAATGTGCAGTCGCTCAGAAGCTGTCAAGCGTAGGCAGACCTGCCTGGAGTCGTCTTTGGTGTGGGTTGTTCATAACTGTTTCGTAAACTTGCCTTCCTCTCCCAGCTCCTCCCCACATGGAGGAGTCCTGTTTTAGAGCACAGTGTTTGCTCTATAAACAAACACTGGTGGGAGGGAGGATGGAAGAGGTAACAGATGGGTGAGTGAATGAATATGTCTTGGAAGGGAGGAGAGTATGGGAGGCGAAACAGGTTTCTATAGGGTGTTAGGGAATTTATGTTATGGTTCCTCTTGTGGCAAACAAGAGCCTCAGGACCTCACATACCCATGCGCCTTCCTGCTGCAGGAAGGATCCCTTTCCCTCTCTGAGTGGCCTGTATTCCCCATGGCACATTGGCCTGGCCACGGCCATGGGGCCACTCTTCTACACCAGCCTGCAGGTCCTTCTGTCCCCCTTCGCTGAGGATCTTGACTTGCCCTACCCACTTTTCCATTTAATTACAGCCTGGCGTGGTTTGCTATTGCTTTTTGTAAGGTGGTTTATCTTCCCCAGGAGATGGCTGCCCTGTGTTCTCCCTGTCACTCCAGCACCTAGGAGGACAGCACCTGGAGCCTGTGAAGGAGCTCTGCCTTTCAGCCAGTGGCTTCATGGACCACTGGCAGATTAACCTCTGCCCCCGGCTGCTCAGCACAGGGGCCAGCCCATTGTTTCTTTGACCTGGTTCTAGCTGATTAGACTGTTTTCCTAGAGGGTTTGCTAATGGTCTGGTGGGAGGAGGGTGGGGGACATAGGCTGGTTTCAAAAATTCCAAAGATCTAGCAAGACTTGTTTGGGGGCCTCTCCCCTTGGATTCAGGGGTTGTTCAGTGGACTTAAGGTCTGGTTTATCCAGACCAGCAGGAGTGCCTGCCCTTGCCGAACAATGTACTGAGGGTGGGAAAGTGCACCCAGCAGCTTTCTCCCCTCCCTCCCCCACTCCCTGACCCCTCTATTCCCCCAGTCTCTCCCACTAGGGAATTTCTAGTATCACAAACTAGACTGTACCGTCCCTGCTATGATTTTTGCTACTTAGCAGAATGAGAATTTTTCTTGATTCAACTGTGGTTCATTGGCTAGTGTTTTGGTG